AGCAGAAAAGACACGTGGTTAGATGAGATAGAGGAGAAAACAGCTGAAGAGGTGGACTGGGAGAGGCCTTTGGGAGAAGGGAAGGTTCCAGTAGAACAGTGGTTCCCAAACTTCCCAGTGCCGCAACCCTTTAATACAGTCCCTCCCGTTGCGGTGACCCTCAATCATAAAATTATGTTCATTGCTACTTCATAACTGTAATTTTGCTATTGTTATGAATCGTAATGTAAATGTCTGTGTTTTCTGATGGGCTTAGGCGACCCTTGAGAAACGGTTGTTTGACCCCCAGAGGGGTTGTGACCCTCAAGTTGAGAACCACTGTAATAGAGGGAGAGGAGTAAGGAGTAGATGCCTATGTGGTGGTTGCCCTCAAGGGCATAGCAGTCTCCAGGAGACACACAGACACTTACTGAGTAGACGAGAAGAGATGAATAGTTAGAACAGGTGGAGGGAAGAGAAGAATGAAGAGGCAGACTGTAGAATTTGAGGTCATATCTGGTGGGTAGCAGAAACCAGCAGAAACAAATGATCGGTACATCCTTTAGTCGAGTCAAATCAGCAGGTTGGTTCTGTTAAGAGAGAGGCTGATCAAAAAAAAAAAAAAAAAAAAAAAGAAAAAAAAAGAAAAAAAAGAAAAGAAAAGAAAAAGAAAAAGAGTACAGATCTAAACAGAATTCTCAACAGAAAATCTCATATGGCGGAAAGACACTTAAGGAAATGCTCAACATCCTTAGTCATCACGGAAATGCAAAAATTGAAACAACTCTGAGATACCATCTTACACTGATCAGAATGGCAAAGATCAAAAACACTGATGACAGCTTATGCTGGAGAGGATGTGGAGTAAGGGGAACACTCTTCCATTGCTGGTGGGAATACAAACTTGTCAATTTCTCAGAAAATTAGAAATCACCCTACCTGAAGACCCTGCAATACTACTTTTGGGCATATACTCAAAGGAGGCACACTTACACTACAAGGATATTTGCTCAACTATATTCACAGCAACATTATTTGTAATAGCCAGATCTTGGAAACAACCTAGATGCCCCTCAACCGAAGAATGGATACATTTACACAATGGAGTGCTATTCAGCAGTAAGAAACAATGACATCCTAAAATTTGCAGGCAAATGGACAGAACTAGAAAAAAACCCATCCTGAGTGAGGTAAGACCTAGAAAGACAAATGTAGTATGTACTCACTCATAAATGGATGCCAGACATAAAGCAAAAGATACCCAGCCTACAATCCACAACTCCAGAGAAGCTTGAACCCTCTTCCAGAAACAGATGGAAACAGATACAGAAATCCACAACTAACCAATGGGCCAAGCTCCTGGAATACAATTGAAGTGAGGGAGGAGTGATAATATGAACAAAGGAGTCAAGACCATGATGGGAAAACCCACAGAATCAGCTCCCCTGAGCTAGTGACAGATCACTGACTCCGGTCTGACAAATGGGGAACCTGCAGAAGAGTGAACTGGACTCTCTTAATATAGGTGACAATGGTGTGGCAGGGGTAGTATATGAAGCCATTGGCAGTGGGTCCAAGTTCTAACTCTACTACACAAACTGACTTAGTGTAGCCCATTCTATACTTTGCTTAGTCTAGACACAGGGGTGGGGGGAAGGGTGGAGAGGTGCCTTGGTCCTGCCTCAAGGAGATTATGGGACAGACTTAGTAGACTTCCTAGGAGAGGTCTTACCCTCTCCAAAGAGCAGATGGGAAGTGGGGGAGGGGAGTGGGAGGGGCAGAAGGAAAGGAGGAAGCGGGAACTGGGATTAGAATGCAAAAAATTAATAAAATTGAGAGAGAGAGAGAGAGAGAGAGAGAGAGAGAGGGGGGGGGCTGAGCCCTTTGCAAGGAGGCTCATGTGTACCCTCCTGGGTTTCGAGCATCAGATGAATGAAAAGGAACATGAGGACATCAACTGCTCCTAGGTCAGGTTGAGGAGAGGGTTTTATTGTAGATATGAGGGAGAGAGCAGCCAGAGGCAACTGGAGGAGTCCAGACTGAACATGGCAGCAGAGGAGACCAGGCCATGAAAGGAGGGATATCGAGAGGAGCAGGAGCCAAGAGTGGAGGACCAAGAGAGAAGCCAAAAGGGCAAAGACATCCAAGGGTGCCTGAGAGGAGCCAGGTGCTGTAACACGTGCTGAGGGAACCTGCCATACGCTTTGATATGCCAATAGGCACCTCAGTCAGCCATGTTTTTTGGAGGGGAGGGCTCTTTGGGACCTGACAGAAGTCATCATGGGAGAGGGCCAAAGGGTCCTCTCTGTTTCGACTGCCACCCCCTGAAAGGAGGCCAAGTTGGCTGGTTTCCTCAGGTACCTGCAGGAAAGCTGTGCACGGGGTTAGGTGTGTGCAGAGGAGGTGGAGAAGGGTCTTAGAAGTGGATTTCTGAGCTCAGGGTGGCTGAACTGGAGAGGCGAGACCAGAAAGAGCTGCTGTGTCTGCCCTCTTCCTCTAGCCAACAGAAATACGGGGTTAGATTCCTTAAATCCCAACAGCAAAGAAGTTCCTGTGGCCAGGTAGGCTGCCTGGGAATCTAACTGAACTCGTCTTTGGTGGAGGCTGCCCTGAAACCCGGCTTTCAGTGACCTGGGTGAGAAGGGCAGGTGATCTTCCCCTTCTTTGCTCTACCTCCTTGGGCTCTGCTCAGAGCCTGTGGGGTTAGGAGGGTGGGGTTGGGGGAGTGCCAGCTTCTACCACTCCCTCTAGGGTGAGGGTAGAGGGGTGTTTAAAAAAAAGGTGTGTACCCCTTTAACAAGGGCCCAACCCCAGGGCTAAGTCAAGAGTTCAGTCACTACCTTCCCACAGCCAGCTCAGCCAGGCAAAGCCGAGGGAGTGGGACAGATTCTGGGAGTGCAGTGGGGAGGAGCCCTGGCTGCTGAGCAGGAGCTGCCTGGCTGTCAGTGCCAGAGCCCAGGCCTCAGAGCCCTGCTGCTGGAGGAGGTGGACATCTGGAGGCAGGTGAGCACTCCAGGTCAGCTGGGGAGGTCTGGGGCTGCCGGGGGACCCTGAAGCCGGGGCAGGTCAGAAGAAGGGTCAAGGAAGGGAGCCGGGGGAGAGGTGCCTGCCAGACACAGGGCAGAAGGTTTCGGGAGTTAACTTTCCCCAAAGGCTAGTTAGGGAATGAGGAGCCCTAGTGGCTTTGTGAAATCTTTAGAGACAGGGTAGTAAGCCCCTCTCCCTGGCCAAGCAGCTGACCTGGCTCGTCTCCAGGGGCTGAGACACTGGGCAGAACATTCCAGGGCCTTGCCCACAGCTGTTGCGTCCTCTCTAACCGGGAACAGGGCGAGTGTTTCTTGGTGGTGGTTGCTCCCCTCTCTCTAGACACAGACCTCACTGGGCTGTGGCAGCTGTGACCTGGGAAAAATAATGGGGACCAGGAGGGACTGGAGAGGGCGCAGAGCTCCTAAGAAGCCAGGAAAGGGAGCTAGGGGCTGAGGAGGCTTCTCCTCCACCTGAGGCACAGGCAGGGTACAGATGCAGGCCTCGTTTGCTCTGGGTGGTGTTCGTTGGGAGGGGCCTGGGGAAGCCTGGGAGGTCCCCTGGATGGGGAGAGGGAAAGAGAAAGGAAGGAGTGGAGCTTCAAACTGGCAGCTTTTCCATTCCAGAGCCTAGGCAGGTCCCAGCTTGACTGACTTTGCCTGGCAGAGCTACCTGCACTGTAGGAGTGTTTGCCTGCCCTGCCCAGCTGAGGTGGGGGCAAGGGCAGGGGGTGATGGTAAGGTGGGCTCAGCCTCTCTCCAGGAGAGAAGCCCTATGAATGTCGGGGAGGCCTTGGGTAGAGGGGTGTGTGTGTGTGTATGCACACATGCCACACGCTTACAACTTTACAAGCTGGGAAAAAAATTCAAAGGACTTCTTGCTACAGTAGAAGTTGGCTGAGGGCAAATGGGGTACCCAAGCAAATCAGGACTGGCAGAGTTCTGTGTTCATGGATGTTTCTATACGGGTGTGATGGCACGGTCCCGCAAGGGTGCAGAGGTGGGAGCATCTCTGTGAACCATTAGCCTCCAACACTGGGAAAAGCACGAGGGAACACAGACTGGGCCTGGGAGGCTGGAGAGAATCACCGAAGAGCCTTGAAACTAGAGATTCCTAGCCCAGTTCAGTTACTTCACTAGCCCTGCGTATTGACGGCCGTTGGGAGGAAATTAAGAAGGGAATGACAGCTGAATGTATAAGCACGTGAATGAAAGGGAGTAAACGAGGCCACTGGCGAATGAGCAAAGAAACAAATGGTGAAATAATGAGTGAGCGAGAGGCCGCTGAGAGGGACACAGCCTGCCAGAGGTAAAATTGACAATCTTGTGGTCTTTGGAGAGGACACTGAGCGAGAGATAACAGTAGGGACATATTCAGCGTTGGGAACTGAGTTGCAATGTGTATGATGTGAACCTTGGAGGGTATAGTGGACGTTCAGAGCTCTAGACCGAGGTGGACTAAGGGATCTGTGAGCCGGCTCTTCCAAAGGGGTGGGGACCAGAACTTGGGGGTGGGAGGGCGGGGCTAGAGTGGCTGAGATCCAGGGGCATGGTGTCAGGGCAATTTGGGCTTTTGGAAAGTCAGCAAGCTGGACTCAGGTGGGCGGGGGTGGGGGGCGGGAGCCTCCTGGTTGCTCAATGATGAATCAGTCCAGGAGACTAAGAGAACACTGGGGGAAGGGTGGGCCCTAGGCGAATGGCCCCTTTAGGGGAGGGCCCTTTGGAGGGCAAGCGATTACTCTATTCTGCTCTTTTGGGGGAAAGCTTCAGTACACACTGGCATACCCCCCATGCCCTCATGACCCCCAACTCTCTTTCCAAGACTTGCCTGTGAAGAAATGACCTCCTGGATAGGTCTGCCTAGGAAAGGAACAGTGCCTTTTCCCTCTCCCCATGACTGGAGGTCCTCAGGCCTAACTGGTTGAAGGATGGGGGCAGCTGCAGGAGCAGGTGGCTGTGAAGTGGGTGGGGCAGCTGATCCTGTCTTCTGCCCCCCAGGGCAGGGTGGAGAAGGAGAGTAATGACACCTGACTGGCTGACTCTGATACTGTCTTCAGAAAAAGCTCCAGAAAATCACTTCTCCTGATGGTTATCTCAGAGCTGTCCATTTTATAAGAACGTGGGGAGGAGGCAGATCCCTGGGAAGGAGGCCTGGGAAGGAGTCAGGACACAGAAGCTGCATCTCTGGTCGGCCCAGTGCTCCTGGGACAGGTGTCTGCATCATCTGCTGGGTGTTTCTCTGCCAGCTGTTTGGTTGGCTGCCGCAAGAGGCCAGGTAGGCATTGGGCATAGCTCTAAGGGGCAGGAGGAAGCTACCCTGGTGGAAGAACAAGACGTAAGGCAGACAGAGGGAGAGTTGCACTGGCCTTTGGGGAGAGCATCAGATGCACAGCACCCCAATTATCTCCTCCTTCCCTATCTTCTCTTGGACTGTTTCCTACAGAGCTCCTCCCTTGGAACAGCTATGGGACAGTAAGGGGTGGGGGTTTTCCAATTGTTTTCTTGCTCTTAAGGCTAGGGCAGGGAAAACCTGAGTGCCACCCTTTCTGATCCTGGTGCAGGTTCCAGAATCTCCAGGAAGGCTGGCCACAGGCCATCCTCACCCCACCCGAGGGCATCAGGGCAGACAGACCATGGGCTGAAAAGTCTTTTTTTCTTCCTTATTTGTGTATGCTAGAGTATTTGTCTGAATGTCTTTCAAACATTAAACCACGCTGTTACACCCTTAACAAACAGAGTATGGGGAAGAATATAGTTTCCTGTGGGTCTGGCACAGGCCACAGTGGTCAGGAGGGTAAGGAGGGAAGGATCTCCCACCACAGATGCCCCAGCCTGACCCCGCTCCCTCTCAACTCTCCTTCCTCCCTGCATCCCAGCCTCGTTCTTCCTGTTCTGATCATTCTTTAAGAAAAGGATGCATAAAAGTGCAGAAGAGTGGGAGGGGCCTTGTCTGCTGGGCGTTAGGGCTGGAAGGAGTTGGAATATTAGAACATCTTCCTTGATCACGGCACTTGTCCAGGCAGTGCAGTTACAGAGATTAAAGAGAGGGTAGTGGTATATTCAGGTTTAAAACACCTTGCCCTCAAATCTACACATTCTGCTATTTGGATCAGAAAACAGCGCCTGAATGTAAGAATCGCTAAGCTGGCTCCATAGACGGAGAGATAAGAGCTGGGAACTTACCAAACCAGCTAATGGCCCCAGCTGGTGTTGACGGGGTGAAGACATACATGGCTGTGGGAGTCCTGGAAGAGTGTAGAGATGACAGAGGTCAAGGCAACTTCCCCTGCAGGCACAGTTTGGGAAGGGCCGAGTGACAGCCTCCGCTGAAAGCAGTGTGCAGCTGAGGCACAGGCGTGGAAGAAGGCTAAGCAGAGGATGGAAAGCGGGGTGGAGACAGGAGGCCTGGAGGGGCCTGGTGAAGGGAGACCACCTTTTTGAATCCAACTGCGGGCCCATAGGCCTGCCCCAGTGGCTGTTTCCTTTGGCGTCCACCTCCCCTTCCTAGGACCAGCTGGGTGAGGGCAGCAGGACTTCATTCTTATGCTTGAGTCCGATTTGCCAGGCTGGTATGGAGGGGCTCTGGGCATGGGCGGCGACTCACAGGGTAGACCCGCCTGCTCCTCTCATATCCTGTTATTCAGAAGGCCGTATCCGCTTGGAGTGTGAGTGCCTTTTGTTCTGGGCCGAGGGGGTGATGCATCTGGCCTCTGCCAGGCAGCTGCTGCGTCCAGAGGCCAGAGTCTGTCTCCAGCGGGGGCAGAACTGGGCCCGCATCTTCTTAGGTAAAGTCTTGGGCCATGATGCATACTCAGGAATGGTCATCAGGGAGAGGCTGACAGGGTATGCTAAGGAGGGGAGCCATACAAAATCTAATCTGATGGAACTGGACCTTGCTCTTTCTTAGAGAGGGGCAGTGGTGGCCTGAGTCCCTGAACTCACTGCCTTGGAGCCCTTGCAAGGGGTTGAGGTGAGCAAGGGCTCCTTTTCCTGGTTTGTGGCCTAGTGCTGGGATCTCAGTCAGTCCTTGGGGTGGAAGATAAAAGCCCCTAGCCTTCTATGTCTCTACTCTTTCCACTACGGTTCCCTAGAATAGGGGACCTGGGTGTGTGGAGGGGGACAGTTACCTGCCTGCTCTTCCCACGGGAGCCTCTTGTTCTTTCAGAGGGCTCTGACAGGCAGCATGGCTGCCTAGGGCACAGGAAGGACCTGGAGAACCTGTTTTGGCAGTTGGCAGTCTGGCTGGGGAACACCTGGATTAGAGGAGCCACACAGGGCTCCTTGCAGGGCCACCCCCACATCATTTGCTATTCCAGGCCTGCTCCCCTCCCTGCGGGAGACAAGCCGTCTGGGGGCTCCGTGTGCGCGGATCTCTCTCTCTCTCTCTCTCTCTCTCTCTCTCTCTCTCTCTCTCTCTCTCTCTCTCTCTCTCTCTCTCTCTCTCAGCGCCTCTCTTTCTGGCTCCTAGGCCCAGAGAGGAGTGAGGCAGTGAAATGGCTGACTGCTATACGGAGCTGGAGAAGGCCGTTGTCGTCCTGGTGGAAAACTTCTATAAATACGTGTCCAGGCACAGCTTGGTCAAGAACAAGATCAGCAAGAGCAGCTTCCGCAAGATGCTTCAGAGAGAGCTGAACCACATGCTGACGGTACCCCACCTCTGCTCTCCCTGTCCACTCTGCTCCTCACAGTGATCCCCCCTACGCCCTGCGCAGTGACCCGGCCCTGTGCCCTCCCGGCCTGGCCAAGGCAACAGCTGGCAGGGCTGCTCCTGGGACTCTGTCTGCCTAGGGTCCTGTCTGGGTCATCCCAAGCTTCACTGACTCCAGTTTCTTCTCCAGGACACGGGGAACCGGAAGGCAGCTGACAAGCTCATCCAGAATCTGGATGCCAACCACGACGGGCGCATCAGCTTTGACGAATACTGGACCATGATAGGCGGCATCACCAGTCCCATGGCCAACCTCATCCGCCAGCAGGAGTGCCAGCAGGAGCCGCAGGGCAGCAGCTAGAGGCCCCTCTCGGGCCCCTTTTCATGTCCTGACCCGCGCATGTCCTGCCCAGTTCTTCCCATGCTTCTTCTCATTCACCTCTTCCTCTCTTCTCCGTCCAGACCGGCTCCTGCCCTTGCTGAACAGCACAAGGGGTGGGGGCGGGGGCTATCAAGGCCTCTTTGTGAGTGTCTCACCCTGGCTGCGCTTCCCCGAGCATTCTGTCTGCAGGCCCTGGGGGACCCCTTTGTGAAATATCGATGCTGTTTGGGGGCCCCCAAGGATTTCCTCATTTGTTGAGTCTGTACACCCTCAAAATGGCTGCTGCTCCTGTCTGAACCTTGCCTGATTCTGGGTCTGTCCTGACCTCTGGAGGTCAGCTTGCTGCTTGAGGTCTCCCAGCTCCTGGCTGTGGCAGCTGTGCAAGTGGCAGCACCAGTATTATCTTCTCTTCCTCCCAACCTCTGAGCTGGGTGGAGAGGCATTCCAGGGCTCCTGTCCAGCCCTCTCTGTCTGGGAATGACCTAACCTGGGTTGAGCCTCCTCTCTGCTCTGCCACTGAAATAAAGGCTGGATTTGGAGTTTGTAACTCCTGGCTGGTTTCTTTGTGGTGTCCTTTAAATCTGCTACACTCTCTGGGCATTTATCCCATGATGTTGGTCTTTGTTCTGGACTCAGAGGCGCTAGGAAATCTCATAAGCAAACCTCACATGTAAACAAAGCAAGGGGAAAAAATAGACAGAAGTTAAACTGGGCTTGATGGCATACATGTGTAATCCTAGAATCCAGGCTGAAATGCAAGGGTCTGGAGTTTGAGGACAGCCTGGGATACATAGCTCAGCATGGTATTGCTTGCCTGCAATCCCCAAAAGTCCTCATAGCCTATTCTCAGACTCAAATTCAACTTCTGGGTGCATAGTAGGTGTCATTTAGTTCTCACTACAGTTAAATAAAAGGGCCCATGACCCTCAGCCTTGAGCCAGGAGTAGCACCGAGGGACTTAGATCTTCCTCAGAGCAGAATTCTAACGTGCAGTGTTGATATGGAGACACAGGGTGTAAAGGGACAGAGGTGTGGGAAGCCAGAGACAGAAAGGGAACCACAGTTTTCAGATGCTGGGAACAATGCCAGCTTTTCCATCTCCCTGTACTGCTGCACCGAGAAGCCCTCAGTAGGCACACGGCAGGAAACCCAGCCTGGCCCTACAGTTTAAGATTGCCCGGAGAAGCACGGGTGCAGACAGTGTCTTGTTTTTGTTTTTAGGCAGGGTTTCAGTCTATAGCCTGGGCTGGCTTTGAACTCACAGAGATCCAAGTGCCTTTGCCTCCCAAGTGCTGGGATTAAGGGCGTGGCTCACCACCAGACCCAGGTGCAGAGACTTTTTATTGGAGTCCATTTAAGGGTTTTCAACTTTGTGAAACTGGTGTTTACTTATATATCTATTTATTTGTTATTGAAAATAGATTCTTCTCATACAACATATCCCAATCACAGTTTATTCTCCCTCTATTCCTCTCAGCTCCTTCCACCTCTTCTCTCCCCTGGATCCATTCTGCCTCAGTCTCCCTTAGAAAAGAGCAGGCCCCTGAGAATCAACAACCAAACACAACAAAACAAAATACAATAAGACAAGGCAAAAGCCTTATACCGGGGCTGGACAAGGCAACCAATAGGAGGAAAAGAGTCCCAAGAGCAGACAAAGAGTCAGAGATACGCCTGCTCCCACAGTTAGGAGTCTCTCAAAATCACCAAGCTGACAGCGACAATGTACACAGAGGACCTGGTGCAGACCCCTATAGCCCCAAGCTTGACACTTCTGTGAGTCCGTGTGAGCCCTGCCTAGGCCAAGTTCTCCTGGTGTCCTCCATGCCCTCTGATTCCTACAGTCTTTCCTCTCCTCTTAGTGATTCCCTGAGCTCTGATGGGATGGACCAGATGGAGACCTCAAATATAGACTCTTTCTCCACACAATGTCTGCCTGTGGGCCTCTGCATCCTATCTGCTGCCAGAGGAAGCCTTTCTTAGGACTACTGCACAAGGCACCAATCTATGAGTATAGCAGGATATCATTATGAATTCTTTAAGTGATTTTTTTTAAAAAAAGGCCAGTCCTATTTAGTTCTATTCTAGGTCTCTGGGCCACCAAGTCTCTGGTTGCTGCCCAGCCAACTAATGCCTGGGGTGCACACCCTCTCACTGAGTGGGCCTCAAGTTAAATCAGACATCGGTTGACCACACTTCCACAAGTTCTGCAGCGTCATTTCTCCAGCATATCTTGCAGGCAGGATGTGGGACAAAGTTTTCATGGCTGGATTGGTGTCCATGTTTCTCTTTTGGTGAGAAGGTACTCTGGCGCCTGCAGAGTAACTTTTTACACCAAAGAGGCTAGAATGTGGCGTGAAGGCTCCATGCAAGCACCGGCTCTCCATGTTCAGTGACCATAGGGTCCTGCCAGAAGTTTGTGGACAGCATCCCTCTGTCCTGCCTCAGCTGTTTGGGGAATCTCCATCGGACCTCCTTGGCCAACAATTCAACTGAATGCAAGCTAGTCCTGCCATGGGAGCCTTGACTGGCTACAAGAAGTGGCCAGTTCAGACTCTGTATTCCCCATTACTAGGAGTCCTTACAAGGATCATCTTCATAGTCACCAGGAAGTTTTCACTGCACTAGGTTCCATACCATCCCCCAGATGTGGCCCTATTCCAGCTGTCTTTCCCTGCCAACCCTATCAATGAACATGGGAGATCTTTTCAACTTCTTCAAAGACTTGAAGTTTTTGCCTTTCATTTGCTTGGTTAGAGGTACCCCAAAATATTTTTGCATTATTTGTGACTATTGTAAAAGGTGTTGTTTCTCTGATTTCTTTCTCAGTCCATTTGTCATTTGTATATAGAAGGGCTACTGACTTTTTTTAGTTAATTTTGTATCTAGCCACTTCCCTGAGTTTATCAGCTGTAGGAGTTACCTGGTGGGCTTTTAAGGATTGCTTATGTACATTATGATATCATTTGCAAATAATGATACTTTGACTTCTTCTTTCCTAATTTGTATCCTCTTGATTTCCTTTAGCTGTTTTACTTCTGTGGCTAAAACTTCAAGTACTACATTGAATAGACAGAGAGAGGACAACCTTGTCTTGTTCCTGATTTTAATGGAATCGCTTTGAGTTTCTTTCCCTTTAATTTGATATTGACTATTTGTCCCTTGTATCCCTGATCTCTCCAGGACTTTTTCATGAGGGGTGTTAGATTTTGTCAAAGGTCTTTTCTGCACCTAATGAGATGATCATGAAGTTTTTTCTTTTAGTTTGTTTATAGGGTGGATTACATTTACTGATTTTTGTATGTTGAACCATCCCTGAATCTCTGGGATAAAACCTAACTTGGTCATGGTGGAAGATCTTTTTGATGTGTTCTTTGGATTCAGTTTGCAAGTATTTTAGAATATTTTTGCTAGACAGTGGTGGTGCATGTCTTTAATCTCAGCAGTTGGAGGGCAAAGGCAGCTGGATCTCTGTGAGTTCAAGGCCAGCCTGGTCTACAAAGCTAGTTCCAGAACAGCCAAAGTTACACAAAGGAACACGGTCTCAAAAGAAAGAAAAGAAGAGAAAATAAAACAGATATTCATCCCTAAGCTAGGCTGTGGTGGCTCACACCTTTAGTCCCAGCTCTCAGGAAACAGAGGCAGTCATTTCTCTGTGAGTTTGAGGTGAGTCTGGTCTACAAAGTGAGTTCTAGGACAGCCAGGGCTACACAGAGAAACCCTATTACGAAAAGCAAGTAAGCAAAAAAGAGTGTTTTTGTGTCTATGTTCATAAGGGAAATTAGTTTGTAATTCTCGTTGTTGAGTCTTTATGTGGTTTGGATATCAGGGCAATTGTGACCTCATAAAATGAACTGGGCAGTGTTCTTTCTGTTCCTATTTTGTGGAAAATTTGAGGAGTATTGGCATTACTCTTCTTTGAAACTCTGGGAGAAAGAATTCTGCACTAAAACTGACTAGTCCTGGGATTTTTTGATTGGGAGACTTTTAATGACTACTTCTATTTCACTAGGGCTTATAGATCTGTTTAAATTGTTTACCTGATCTTTATTTAACTTTGGTAAGGGGTACCTATCAATAAAATTATCCATTTCTTTTAGATGTTCCAATTTGGTGGAGTACAGGTTTTAAAGTACATCTTTATTTGGTGATTTGAAAGAAAATGGTCCCCAAAGGGAGTAACAATATTAGGAGGTGTGACCTTGTTGGAGTAGGTGTGGTCTCATTGGAGGAAGTGTGTCACCATGGGGGAGGGGTTTTGAGACCTCATATATGCTCAAGATACCACCCAGTGTCTCAGACCACTTCCTGTTGCCTGCAGGATGTAGAACACTAAGTTGTTTCTCCAGCATCATGTCTGCCTGCACACTGCCATGTCTCACCATGATGATAATGACTAAACCTCTGAACTGTGAGTGAGCCACCACAATTCAATGTTTTCCCTTTTAAGAGTTGCCATGGTCGTGGTGTTTCTTCACAGCAATAGAAACCCTAAGTAAGATACTTTATGATTCTCTGAATTTCTTAAGTGTCTGCTGTTATATGCCCTTTTAAATTTCTGATTTGTTAATTTGAATATTCTCTCTCCATCTTTTAGTTAGTTTGGATAAGGGTTTGTCTATTTTGTTGATTATCTCAAAGAACCAACTCTATATTTCATTGATTTTTTTTGTATTGCTTTCTTTGCTTCTATTTTATTGATTTTGGCCCTCAGTTTGATTATTTCTTGCCATCTACTCCTATGTAGTGTGCTTGTTTCTTTTAGTTCAAAAGCTTTCATGTGTGCTGTCATGTCGATAGTATGAGATCTCTCCAGTTTTTTTTTTATGTAGACAATTGGTGCTATGAACTTTCCTCTTAGCACTGCTTTCATACACATATTTGGGGTACACTGTGTATTAATTTTCATTAAATTCTAGAAAGTCTTTAATTTCTTTCTTTATTTTTATCTTGACCAATTTTTCATTCAATAGAGAATTGTTCAGTTTCCATGAGTTTATAAGCTTTCTGTTCTGTTAGATATTAAAATGGCTACACCAGCTTGTTTCTTAGGTACATTTGCTAGGAATATCTTTTTCTAACTCTTTATTCTGAGGTAATGTTTATCTTTGATGTTGAGTTGTGTTTCTTGTATGTACCAGAAGGATGGACCTATTTTCACATCCATTTTTATTGGGGATTTGAGACCATCGAATTGAGAGATATCAATGACCAATGATTGTTAATTCCTGTTATTTTATTATTGCTGTTGTTGGTGTGTGTGTGTGTGTGTTTGTGCTTTCCTTCATTTGGTTTTGCTTGTGTGAGATTTTATTTCTTGTGTTTTCATGGGGGTAGTTAACCTCCTTAGGTTGGAGTTTTCCTTTTAGCCCTTTCTGTAGGGCTGGATTTGTAGATAGATGTTGTTTAATTTTGACTTTATTGTGGGATTTTCTCCGTTTATGGTGATTGAAAGTTTTGCTGTGTATAGTAGTCAGGGCTGCCATCTGTGGTCTCAGAGTCTGCCCCACATCTGTCCAGGCCCTTCTGACTTTTAGAGTCTCTGTT